ATTTGAAATGTTGCAGGCTATGTACTGTGAACGTCTTGACACTGTAAAAATGGTCAGTCACATTAGGTCTCCCCTGCCCTCCCAAAATAATTCTTCTGATTAGATGCCGCTTAAAAAGAGGCTTGGTAGGTCCGAAATTTTTTAATTTGGGAGGGGTCAACTCTCTTGTGCTGATTGAATAGCATGAATGGGGACGAACGACACCAAAAATTGCCACAAAAACTTGCCTTACACCACACTAAAGCTTCAATAAGTACATTCACACATGACTTTAATAAAGGGTGCAACCAGATCTCGTGAAAACATCTCTGCCTTTGTACAAAGTGATACCAGTAGAATCCAATAAAGAAGTTTCGTATCTGGTTACTTTCATATGTTAGCTACAATGTGGAAGTGGAAGAAAGGTTGTGACACCAATTTTATTGTTTTGTGTCTTGTCCCCGTTTGCTTGGAATTACCCAAACGGTGTATGTAAATGTGCATATTGATTTAGTGAACATGAATTTCAGTTGAAGGGCATCATCACCCAAGTGAAATGATGGTTACGGGGCTGACACATTTGAAGAGATTGGGGTCAATATCCAGTACAGGTACACATATAATACTTGTACTGTACTTGCACCTAACCCCCTTCCCAAACAACTACTGGTAGTTAACAATTAACAAAGACCCATTTTAAGATCTAGGTTGTGGATTGTTAGACCAAAAATATTGCATTATCAACCGGCCACTTTAAATTGATGAGTTCCTCTTATCTTCTGTTCGCAGATGTACCCAGATACACTGTTGTTCAGCTGCCGGACACCATCCAGAGGGGGGGAGTCCTGAGGTTGGAATGCTCATCGGAGGGGGCCATTCCCGTTACAGAGGCGATCTGGAGGCTCGGGAAGGTCGTGATTTTGCCAGATCAAAGGTGGGACGACTCTTGCAACACTCTTGGGAATCCTGTGCATGCACGCACATGTGCAGGATCATCAATCACCCTCTCAAAAATTGTGTTACAAGGTCATGCCAGCAGTGCGCCACACTTCGTTAATTAATGTCAATTAAGGCCCCCCTCCTCTCTCCTTTCTCTCCCTCCCTTGAGCGGAAAACAATCAATTGCTCAGTCCTGCTCACACTGGTCAAACAAATTGTTGTGATGAGAAATGTGTCAGTTGAATTTGCATGCTTGCAACTGTACTGTGCAGGCCACTGGGCTTTCAACCCATCAAATTTGCTGACAGCTTGGTTCAGTACAGATTGTGACCGTACATCTGGAGCAATCTACCTGTGACACAATTTCATTTTATGGTGTGGAGTTACGTGTATCTCCAATGAGAATTGGCACCTGTAGTGGGCTGCACAGTGCTCCTCGCATTCATACTTGATCTGTCCTTTCATTTTGTTAAAATGTGGGTTAATGAGGTTAATGTACACAAACACTCAGGCTCCAGTTTCTCTGACTTATCTCGGCTAATTTCTGTTAAGCTTTGTGAAGGACCAGTTTTTATCAGCAAGATATAAAGACTTGGGCTGCTGGCTTGACTTCTCCCGAGTGAGCCGTCCTAAAAACCAGTCCAATAAGGCGCATATGACCGAATGGCAGCATAGGTCAACTGTGTGGCCAAGATAAGTCAAAGCAAATTCACCAAGCTAGATTGTCAGATTCTGTTGATTTGCACTCACACCAAAGGTTCAAAGTGACATCAACATTACAAATAGTTTGGTTTCCATTCGCAAAAACTTAGAATCTCAAGAAAAGTCCATATGAAAATAAGCTGAAAGCACAGTTCCTTGTTACTGCTTCTAACTATGGTTTTTGTCCTTCCTTATCTGCTCATTTTGGTTTTTAAAATCTAGGAGAACTATTTTGCCAAGTGGAGTTCTTCAAGTGTCTGACGTGGTTGCAAGTGATGCTGGTAACTACCGTTGCTTGACGCAGAATGTCGCTAATCGTCGGATCAAGAGCCCAGCCTTCAGTGTGCTGGTGCAGGAGCCCCCAGACAGCCCGAGCAGGGACCCGGTCATTGTGGCAGGGCCTCAGGCCCAGTGGGTCCTGGAAGGGGAGATGGCTCTCTTTGAGTGCTTTGCTAACGGGGACTCATTACGAGTGACATGGACCCGAGAAGGTAGGCTTTCACACTTTAAACGAAGACGCTGGCTGGTTGGGGGACAGCACACTGTGAGAGGGCCAGGCATATGTATTTGAATGGATAGAGAACCTGCACAGTGTTCAGAAGGTTACTGGTTCAAATCCTGGCACAGTTGTGTTCTTAGTTCCCACTGTAAATTGTATTTGGAGATTTGGGACTCTGTTTTTCAAACATGTTTGATACGTGACCATTTTCAAGGTGCTTGTATTCTGGTTTGCAAAGCCCAGGTCAGACGTGTTGGCATCGACAGTGCAGTACAAGTAGATGTTTCCTTTGCATTCAGAAATAGTTCTTGTAACGAATTCCCCGGGTTGCTCAGAGAATGAAAGAAAAAAGTGGGGCAGGGGCATGTTTAACCTCCTCACACTGCAGTGGTTCATTGTGGGGTGTGTACCCTAAGAAAGCAGTGACTTTGCTTCATGCCGTTCCAGAAGCCCACATTTTTGTGATCGCCTGTTGTCTGTAATTCATTGAAAGTACAGCAACCTTGCCTGCGAGCATCTTTGAACAATGCATTGTAGGGTTTAAATTCAGAATAGTGGTCTGGACGAACTGAAAGGTGCCGTATGAGGAACAAGGCCTATGTAGGTTGGGTCGTCTCCTTGGGGACTTGGCAGCATTAGCAGCTGTTAATGAAAGAATGTACAAAGCAGAAGGAGGAACTGTGCAAACTCCAAACAACTGTGATGTCGAGGTCAAATCTGGGCAAGTGGCAGTCGTTCATGTACATACATGTCTACCCAGGAAGGTGCCCAATATTAATGATAGCGGTATGTGTCGGTTGCTCATGATACAAAATTGACAAAAACCCAGTGATTGTACGCTTCAATCAACTGTTATTTTTTTAGTGTACGTGTGTGTCTGTCCATGAAATTTATGCAAATTTTAAGCTCAGCGTATTTTGACAAGATTAGCAATTCACAGCACAAGTGACACCAGGCCACTTCCTACATGTGCTCAGAGCAGTCCCTTGTCTCCTCAACTTAATGGTCTTTTTTATGCCCACATGGTCAAACTCAACATTATTCCCCTGCCAACAGAAATTGACTTCAATTGCGCTCATATAAAAAGAAAGGACAAAGTGCAGAGCTTTGCGCAACAGGAATATGTTTTGGTATGCAAAAATGGATGTTTGTCCCACAATGCACTTTGAAAAGGTGGCTGTCCCCCTGGTAGCATCTTGATGGTTCAAGGTATTGTGTAGCATTCTTCTCAGCACATGGGCCAAAAAAACAAAATTTGCCCTCCAGTCAGTGTGCAGTGATGCTATCTACTTTGGGTACCATCACTTGTGAACACCCAACCATCTCCCTAGGGTAGAGTTGTTCTTTTACAATGTTGTTGGCAATTAGGCAGTGAACTGCGCAGTTGTCCTTGTCATAATTTTCAAGGTGATCAGGTGTGCGGCCTGCAAACTGTGTCAGGTACGGTTATTGACCTCCCTGTCCCCTCTTGTTTCTTGCACTTCGGTCACCGCGGGATATGAAAAAGTTGATGCATCCCCCCTGTGTTTACTGTACACTTTTGTCCTCCCTTGCTTTCTGTTTGTTTATGAAATTACTGAGGTCATTTTATAAAATGAAGCAGGTACTTAGTAGGTGCTTCCGTTCGGTCCTGCTCTTGCAGTTGCTGTGCAAGCCACTATTGTATTGCCAAGGTCAGTTTTGAGTACGTGAACCATCACCACAGATTCTATCACAGTAGCCAGTTCTTCAGACCAACTGTGTAATCCTCAAGGTTGTCCCTCCACTGTCTTGGCAGTCACATGGATCCAGGGGCATTTCCATCACAAACTGCTGGGAGCAGCTAACAATGGATTATACCAGCAACCCTTTTTTTTTAATCCCAGCTCACTTTACGCTTCCTCACTGAAAATCACTTAACATTTCAATTTGTTCCTCTGTGGAAGAATCCAGTGGTGCTTTCTTTGCATTTTGAGGGATGAGCATTCAGCCCATGTACGTAGCTTGATAGTTACTGGTACTGCACCTTCCCAAATCTTTTTAAGATCCAATAAAACCTGGTGGATTTTGAAGAACTAGGGACTTCACCAATAGGGTTAAAGTCTTAAGTTGAAGACCTTTTTCTAACGCCCTTTTTGCTTATCTTCAGAACGTGATTTGCTGGTACCTGTACATGTACTTACATGTACTTTAGATAAGCATGAAACACATTGCTTACAAATATGTAGAGGCTTGTTCTATTATGCTATTGTTTTGATAAACATGCGACGGGACATTAAATTGTTCATGTAATTTTTTTCTGCATATGGCCAGTTTGTTGGAGAAAGGGGCACCAACCATTCAGGTAGGGGAAAAAACGGTGCTTGCATGTACATGTGTGCTGCAAGTGGCCAAAGAGGTCTTTGACTTGCCTGTGTGGGAACGCCACCGTGTAGCCTGTGCTAAAATTGGATTGTGGGGTCAAACTTCTGGTCCCCCAGCTGGAAGTGAGGGTAGACAGGAGACAGAGATGTGAAGGTGTGCTGTTATGCATACTGGCATATGTACATGTAGATGCTGGCACATGTGAGAAGGTTTCTCCTGGACACAGTGCCAGCTGTTGATGAACGCTCACCTACTGGAAAGACATTCGGAAATATCATTTGGCAAGATTTTTGTTTTTTTTTTGTGATGTTTAAACAATTTTCGAGAGGGGACACAGGGTTCATGAGAATTGAGATAGCGGTAGGACAAGCTGTTCACATATACTGCAGCCTCCCTCCTGTAATAATTTCAGTTACTGTCTCTTCACGGTAAGATTTTAATTGGGAAGTGAAAAAAAATCTTTTTGTCACAAATCCTGTAAAATGTGTGAAAGAAGTGTGGAAATTCTTTTAGAAAAATGATACTTGTACAAAAATGATTGAGAAAGAATTTCAGGTGTACATCCATCCCTCTTTGTGCGGCATTTTTTGGGGACCACTGTCCCAACTCTCAGAACACCTGCCAGTTGAAATGCAATCCCAGCAGGTCAAATGGAAGGGTGTGTTTGGTCTAATCTGCATTGGACTATCAGCATTTAGGAGGGCTCAGGGTAAATTAATATCTATGAAGCTGTCAGGATTTTCGGCTTCACTTGTCCGTGCACAGAACTGCCCTTCTGTGAGGTTCTGTTCTGTCTCCCGGGAAAACTTTTCCGGGGAGCAGAAAGTCAGATTGGATGAGAAATGACCCGCCGTGAATGATTTAGCTTGGCTCATTTCACATGCGGCTCTTTAGCAGTCGTAACTATGGATTGTGAAGTTTAAAATTTGCCTCTGAAAGACACTGTTCATTTTGAAGGTTTCGTTATTCCTATTGTGAAACCTCAGTTTTCTCATTGAAAACATTCCTGAGAATGGGTTGCTCATTTTTACTCACCTTGCACTGTAATGTATCACCCTGTAAGTAAAGGACATCTGGGCCAGCAAAATATGGAAAAAAAATCCAGCATTTTTGGGAGTACAAATCAATGTAACGTTGAGGCGTTCTTCCTGGAATGGCATCACAGGTTGATCATAACTATTTAAATTTGGCATTAGCATATAAACACTAAAAGCACCAAAATACATGTATGTGTACCCTTTGAAATAACAAAGCAAAAATGGAAACTGAGATACCAGTACATCAATAACTTAACCCAAATTGGCCAGTTTGCCCATTTGCTGACTAAGTGGTGACTGTCCCATCGCCCCTGCAGGGGCTTCAACACCATATTCACGTACACGTACATGTACATGTACTAGCACGTGGTGATATCACATGTACATGTACAGAAGAGATACTGGTTCTCTGTACATCGCACAGGTATGTAGGTCGTTTTTCATCTGTCAGGACATTGCCCTTGAGTTCGGAGCTTGCCCTAGCCTGACCTAGAACACGGAAGCCAGTGCCAGGGGTATTCAGATTGATGAATCGGGCAGGCATGCCTGCATGTACTAATGATGTGCTTGTGGATAGTGAATACATAATGCTACTGCGATATACGGTACATACATATACGTGTACAGATTTTTGTACCTGTGTTTTATGTGAAAGGGCTGCCGGGGCCTGTAGTCCGTTGCCCTGGTTATGAAAGGTTATACAATCAAATGAGTAGTCCTATCAAAGCGGATTTTTCACTTACATAATTTGTACCACAGGGCTAGGTTACACATGTACAGGTACATGGATATGTACCAGTACATTGTTCAGACACTTGCACATGTACAGAGTCCGAAAAGGATTTGCATTTTGGAGGTTCCCCATGATTGCGTAACCTTCTTGTCCCTTTTTTGTGATGATGTAACTGTTGCTCATTTTCCCAAATGTTTCCTCCGAGGATCATTCCGGGAATTCCTGCTCTTACTCTGGCCAGAAGCAATGGCCCACCTGGGGCTAGCTACTCGTAAATGCATTATCCTATGGCATTGTGTAGGTGGGCATGTACATGTATTTAGCCTGCTGGCTTCCATTTACACCAAATCTCAAAAGAGAGGAAGAAAGCTATGAGTCTGACAGTCATCTCGAGGTACTGTTGAATCCAATTTCATATACGATCATTTTTGCATGTGTGTATCACCCCTTCAAGCATTTCTCCCTCACCCCCTCCCCCCAGAAAAAATAAAGAGGTAAAAGATGTGACAGATGACTGACTTTTTTTTGCCATGAGAATATACATGTAGTAACAACAGTAATTGATGCGTCTGACATGTTCACATAATCTTAATGTGCTGACAGGATTATGCCACAGTTTATCCCTTGAGTCCCCTTTTAAAGCTCTCCAGGTCTGTCGTCCCTGGCAGTGTACCAGAAGAACCTTGTGTGGTCAGTGTTTTGCATGGAAATGTCAACTGTATTAACCCTAACCCTCCTCAATCCTTCACCTGTTGGAGGACTGAGGAGTGTTAGGGTTAAGAAGTTAAAAAAAAAAAAATCATGTGCAACCCTGCCCTACTTCTTTGTGGAGGTTGCCTGGATTATTTTATTACCACTGGAAATGATATGGAAAAAAAGCTACTAATTCATTTGAAAATTAGAGATTGATAAATCAGAACTTCCAGCTTGAGGCTCTGTTAGTCACTTTCCACATCACGGCAGCAGCCGAGCAATCTTCAAACATGTTTTCATCATGTATGCACGTGTACATGTAGTCATATCCCACATGGCCAAGGCCACAAAATTGCACCCCTGGAAATGGTTCTGGTTTGGAGTTCTTATCAAGCGGGATGTTAAACATGTTCATCTATTTAGTCATCCAAAAGGCCTTAAACTTTGCCCTTGGGGTCCCTCGAAACTTTAAGAATCAGACAAGCCCAACTTCTAACTGAAGGTCAAAGATTGCCCATACATGCTTGTTCTGTACCATGTGCCAGTGCACCTGGGATTTTTAGTGGTGAACCAGTATGCTTACGCTGTTCCAATGCAGCAGTGACTCGAGTCCTCTGCCTCCAGGGCTGGGGATGTATAAATGCACATGCAGTGACAATACCCACTCATGTGAACTGAGTGCTCGGATGCCATATTGGCTTGAAGTCATTGAAGCCTCACAAAGAATGTTAAAGGGGATGGGCCAAGTAGGGTTAAATTGACGTTATATGATAGTTTTCAACCGTCTTATATACAATAAGTTGGATAAACCCCTCTTTTATGTCATTAAATCAGCAAAAATTGGCATTTTCTGTGTGCTTTTTTTCGGTATCTGCTTGGGCTCTTCGCAAATACTTATCGAAATCAGGTAATGAGGGCAGCAGACAAATCTTGGCAAAAATGTGACGTCATTGGATGGACTCGACTTTCCAGACAAGAATGCATAGTTCCAGCAACACAGTTGATGGGTCCGCACAAGAATAATGTTCTCTGCTCTGGCGCGTAGTCGGGTACGTAACTCATACATGTCAAGTCAACCACATTTGGTCTTGTTTCCCTATGCTCTTCCCTTAACATAGGGCAGAGCTATTGGGCAACTAACTTGACGCGTCACGTTCGTTTTGCTTCGCGTTGTACATGTGTGATAATTTCTATAGTGAATTCTGAATTTTGAAAGAATGCCAATAAACTGTGTTGTCGGTGGCTGTTGTCGCAATCAAAATAATTCCCCGGAGAGCAGCTTTTGTAGATTCCCAAGCGACTTCACACCAGCGATTGTAGGTTAGATTTGTGGATAACACACAATCAAATGTAAATGATGTAAAATGGGACTATATTGCAGTGGCGCACGTGGACTATATTCGGGTGCAAATAATGCTGAACAGTCGTCATGCATACGCGTCAATGTCAAGCAAGTGACTCATAGTGCACGATGAGAAAAATTGTCAGAATGGAACAACAACTTTGACAAAGCTTAGGCTAGCCTATAACAATGGACAAAAAACTACTTCTAGACAACTATCGAATAGCCAATGGTAGGACAATTACGTCTTTTCAGAAAGACAAATATTTACAATGGTACAGGAAAAATAAAATTATGACCTGTTAGTGTTTGGTTGTCTATCCTTTGGGTCGTAGCCATGCCCCTGGCCAACAGCCTCGAGTTGCAAAATCTCTTCCCGAGTGTATTCTGGTTCGAACTGACAGGGCAATATTTCTTGTGCCTCATCAACTCCTTCAATGTTGCTTTCTTCGTCAAAATGAATAAGACGAACATGACAACACCAACGCTGGAATTATCGCCGCATGTGTCTGACATGATTGCACACGCCAACGCTACTACATTATGCACATGTCGACGTGTTGTTGCATGACAGTAAACAGTCGCCGGATAAAGGACTCCATCCTATGACATTACGATTCTTGGGAATTTCTTCAGACAACTTTCGGTACCCGACGGCTGTTGTTTAGCTTTTGCTCACAGAAGGGAGTGAAATAGGGTCGTGAAAACTGTAATTTCTAACATATTTTCGCGCATTTTGAAATTATGCAGATGTGTTTTCTTGTTATATGAATGTTTGTTTTATGTGTTGATGCATGTTTAACAACATACCTTCCCAGCACGGCCCATTCCCTTTAAGATTCAACTCGTGACTTAATGACATAAGCACTCTCCAAACTCTACCGGTACATGCAACGTGCCACTTTGAAACAGTTGGCTCGTAAGTGAATGCACTGTGTTTGGCGTCTAGGTGGCTCACTCTTGGAATCGTGCTGTGTGATGACTGTTGTAGGCGTTCCCCCGTCACTCATCGTTCCCACCAGACTGCGAAAGAAGTCTTGGGTGCCGTTACCCTGTTAGATTGAAAGCAGATCGCATGCGAAAATTCCAAGAGCCAGAGAGTGTTGGATGGCTGTTGCCAGAAACCAGAGGTTATGGCTTTAACATCTGTTTTGAACAGTGTTCTGTTGATCGGCCAACTTCAGTCAACCCAGTACCCTCCAATGCTGGTGCTGGTTATTTTGTTGCAGCCAGTACCTCCCAGATCATTCTAAATGCTGTGGGAAGTTGGTATTTAAAAACAAGGAGGAAAATTGCCAGATTTGTAGCACAGCTGTTACCGTTGTACCTGTGGTGTTTCATGTTTCGTATAAAAATGTGGGCTTATGCAGTGTTTTCAGTCGCAGATCATTCCTGAAGATTCAATGAAAAAATTGTCCTATTCATTGAGGCTAAAGACTAGTCATCATTTGAAAGTACATATACAGTACTTCTTTCTTACCATGATGTGCAATGGGTTTCAAATTATGGAGAACAGGCTTGAACCTCCTCGTTTCTTTCGCACGCCTCTGATGCCCTGAGTTATCTTGGCCATCCTGTTGCTATGATGACCCAGGCTGTCCAGGGTTCTATCAATTAGGGGTCATATTTTTGCGTGACTCTGTCACTGACATGTGATTTTGTAAGTTCAGAACACTTGCTCTAATTTCCAAGAGTGGTGAATTAATGCAAATTACCTGCCAAACAAATACAAATAGTTTGAAATCAGTTTACCCGGTAGATGATATTTCCATGTCAGATTACGCAGGTCAGGTGTAACAGAGACCCCAAAATGTCACTTTTTGGACTCCGAATTTATAGAATGACCGTGCAGTATATGGAATATTCAAAATGGTTTGATGTGGAGCTGAACTCTGTGTGAAATATATTGACCAGTGGACGTAGCACCTTCTGGATTTCCACAATTAGAGACAGTTAAATTCAATTTATCTTGTTTGGTATTTTTATTATGTATTGAAAAACAAATCTGGCCAGCCCCATTGGTTGTTTCATTATGCATGCAGATGGCAGGCCAATCAGAACTCAGGATGTGAATTACCTCGGTCGGAGCAATCTGCAGCTGCTGGAGGTGACGGCCAGCGATGAAGCGGTGTACGTCTGCACTGCCGAGAACACAGTGACAGGGGCCACCGTGCAGGCACGGGCCCAGCTGTATCACGTGGGTAAGTAGCCAAAGGGTCCAAGTCCACGGGAGCTGGCACCAAGTGAGAGAGTGTACACAGTTGGAGGGGCCTTTGGCAATGGCCAGGGTCGTTAAGATGTTGCTGCTTGCCTTGCAGTACGATGCATTTCACTTCTTGTTAATGATTCAGGGGAGAATTCTTCCGCCCGTTTGATGCCTGGTCAAACAGTAGCCAGAGCAGATACTGTATTGCACTCAAAGGATTGGCTTCCTCATGAAAAAGAGATAGAAATTATTAAAAATGCACTCTGTTCAAACAGGTCACAGCTTCACAAGAGAACCATCTGTGTTTTGCAGGATTTTTTGTTTTGTGTTTGTTTCTGTGTTTGCAGTACCTGCAACATTGGGAGGGGGCGTTTGTGACTGGTGCAAGAATTATCTGGTCATTGTAGCTCCAACTGTGCTAAGTCCAACAAGATTCTATGTGATATATGCTGAACCTTGAGGATATTCCTAACCTTCAACGTTCAGGGTAGATCACCTGGAATCTTTGGGGGAATTGCCATCGTTAGGGGTTATATGTAACTTACGTGTGTATATTTGACTCAATCATTAGTATGCTGAGGCAGCTCATGTATTGCTCATCTTCATGAAAAAGAGAGAAATAAACCCTTATGCATTCAAAGCATACAAGAATTATCAAACTAGCTGTCCCCAGAAATTGATTAATTTTTGCTTTTCTTTTCCTCCCCCCCATCCCTCAGTGCCCCCAGCCTTCAGGGTGGCTCCGTCCAAGTTCTTTGGGCCACTTGGCAGTACTGGCAGATTCTCCTGCTCTGCCACGGGCCGCCCCACACCAGCCATCCACTGGCTGCACAACGGCCAGCCCGTGGAGCTAGACGAACGGGTGGTACAGCAGCCCTCAGACGACCTGGTCTTCATCGGGGTGCAGCGGGAAGACATGGGCATGGTCCAGTGCGTGGCTGAGAACGAGGGGGGCCGCATCCAGGCGGGAGCCCAACTGGAAGTTCGCCTCAGTGGTGAGTTGATAGACCACTCCCAGGAGAGGTGGATACTTGGTCAGGTCCAGGCAATATCTGCAATCTATCCCCACTTCAATTCCTTGCGTCTGTACAAAGAACAGTAGCACTAACACGACTCGGTAGTTGAACCATTTTGCCAAATCCCATCGGTCGCATCTGCTGTTGGGTACGTCTCTTGCTCCTTTCATATCTTCCGCAGCCTCTCATCACTGCTTTTTTTTGGGGGGGGTTCATTGATCCCCTATGTACTTGGTTGGGTAAAAGGCTATTGATAACCAGTGATGCACCCGTGCCCCAAGGCTTGGTTTCAAACAGTCAATTAAAAATACAAAGTGTTATTGCTCAAGTAACATGAGTCAAATTGTAGTTCACCGGAGCCATCATTCAGGGTTCAGACTACACCCTAGGCTTGAGGGGGCCACTCACTTTCTTTACATACATGTGCATTCTTAAACCTGATGATACCAGACGCTGGACCCAGCTTCAGGGGAAAAATTTGCACAGCAAGGGGAAAACAGACTCATCTTCGGCAAGCTCTGCAGACAAGTGGAATCATATGTTAAAAACAAAGAGGTTGCGGGATCAGAATTTACCAGATTACCAGTAGCTTGTAAATTTCATTTTTTAAAGGCTTCTCGCCCATTTTGCATGTACATTACTTATGAAACTTTGAGTGTGAGGAGCAGAACTTAAGGTTGCATGTGATTATAGCAAAAACTGGATGTTACGGAGAAAGAAGTTTCTATTGTTGACGCTTGTAATGAAATAGGGCTTGTTGTTAGTGAAATTTTGGCAGTCTTGAAGATTTTCAGTCCTTGACGGTTATGGGGCAGTGACTGAATTCTTCATTTTTGTCTGACAGGTTTGTAGAAGTCTTCAAAAAGTCAAGTTGTTCTCTACCCCAGTCCATTGTTTTGTAGCTTGCCAGTCGGGTTCCGATGTAGGTTCGTGTGTTTGATTTTTATTGTTCAGCCTCGATGTACGTGTAAACCGATTCCGTTACTGTGTTGTCCCTCCCCCCTCAGGCAAATTGCCCAATCCCCCGCAGCACGTCCGCTTGCATTCTATCAACCCCAACACGGTCATGGTGACCTGGAGCCCCCCAGAACGGTCTGAAATTGAGATCATCGCTTACAGCATCCACTACCAGGCCGTCGAGAGTAAAGGTGAGATATGTCCGGATTTTTCTGGATTCCCTGATTCTTTTTTGCTTAAACGTATTCAGGATACATATGGATTGTCCCTTTGGCATGGCTTTGCCAAAACTACATTAAGTACAGTGTGCTATAGAGAGTACATTCTTGTATTGTTACTCACGCTGGAATACAATGGCCAGATGATGTACAGATGGCCAGGGTTGTCGGAGAAGACCACCTGAGACCATCACAAGATCCCAAGAAACCTTAACAAGACCTTCAGTCTTGCCTGTTACTGACAACATTTTCCTCCTCCCTCCTGCCCGGACTCAAGCAGGCAGCCGGGAGCTTGATGAAATCTGCAACGCTGAGGACACACAGTTCATGGTGGACGAGCTGAACCCGCACACCAACTACTCATTCTATATGCTGTCGTGGAACACCAACGGGCCGAGCAAGGAGTCAGCGCGCCAGTACATTTTTACAGAGCAGTCGAGTGAGTTTATCTGACCTTTCTCCCACCCTCCCCCGACCCCAGATAGAAAAGCAGAGTACAGGTGTTTCATAAAACAGTGCACCACCAAGTATGTCGTGGGAAAGTTGACAAATTTCATTAACTGGATATGTGCAGGGAATTGTGTCCATTGCTTGCTTGGATAGACGATTATTTCAAGTGCCAATGTTAATTGATCAAGTTGGTTGTTTGATTTCCAAGGTGGCCAAACTCTGGTTCCCATCCTGCAAACCCCCCGAAGCACATCAATATCCATAGATGAATGCCATTTTCTATCAGTTGTAAGCATGGAAAATGGCCTTTCCCTGGCAAGCTCCTGATGGCAAACTGTATTATTAATGACTTGAAGTATTCACTTCTCATTATCCCGTTAATTAATTCTTGCGTGGAATTTTTAGATTGTATCAATGGTTTTGTTTTGTTTTTTTGTGAGTTTTGGGGAGTTTTGTATAGGTCAGCTATCAGACCCCCCAAAAAGCATACAAAGAGCACTTGAATAAAATTTACCTGATTTGTTCTCAGCTGCTTTTGTCATAACTATCTCGGGGAGGGGGGGCAAGCTAATATTTTCCCGGAACTCCTGCATTGAGATTGTGACTGATTTTTACCACCCTTGGGGAATATGTGACATTTCAGGAGTAGTGACGTTTCATATTGCCGTATTTCCTCTGTGCCTTGGCATATTAAATTACACAAACCAACTTAATGGATGTTACTGTGTAAAGTACTTCCTCCTAATGATGTACAGTGTACTCATGAAACATGGATATGGATCTGTTCTTATGTGGGTAGCATAACACCATTACCAATTTCAGAACAGGGCCAGCAGAAGGAATTTATTACAAGCTCATTTTTCTGCTGCTTATAAATTAGTTCTGGTAAAAATTCCCTATTTTTCAACAGCAAGGGGTGCTTGATTTGTTTTTTTGATTTTGTTTGTATTCACTTTCTCTCATTGGCTTATCCAGTTTTGTTTTCTAGAGTTTGATCATTCATGTAGTGACATTTGGAATGTAAAAGGGTCATTCCATGGGGCACAATTTGTGACGGTGTCAAATTTACATGGGTTCCATAAAAATGAAAAGCTATTTCTCCGCAAGTGGATTCCAAATTGACATTGTTTTATATCTTGCAAAGCTGTGTACAAAGGTGTATGTTGTTTGAACAGAGTAGATTACCCACTGTGCAGGTCATGACAGATGGTAAAAGTTACCCATGTGACAAGGACACCATCACAAATTGTGCCCAAACCTCACGCAATGACCCAAAACTGAAATGAAAAGTACAAGTTTTTTGTGTGAAATCTAGATGAACCCAATCCACTTTAAGCTTGTAAAAGATTCCTCCAAAATGCTTTTATGTTTTTGCTTTTATTTTGTTTGTAATTGAGTGCTCAGAGAAAGTCGAGTTTCATTGTGTTCACGTACTGTGATAAGTGCCTGTGCATTTATTGTTGTATAAATTATCAAAAGCAAAAATGGCAGTACCACACTCTGTCTAACTGGATTCCTACTTGGCAGAGGTGCCCCTCCTCTCTTGAAGTAGGGGAAGAAAAAGACTAATACTTTGTGGGGGGAGGGGAGGGGAAAGCTTTACACGAATCAATTAGCTGCTTGACAGAATTGTGTAATTAAACTTTGTTATGTTGTGAGTTGTGTGAAAAAACTGCCCGAGTGCCCTTCTGCCAGGCAGACGACAAATTTAGGATGCAAAGGAAGATGATGTACCAGTCTTTCTCGTCTTCATGTGCAACAGGGCCCTCCATGCCGCCCAAGTTCACGGCGGCCAGCAACACTCCGACCTCCATCACCCTGAACTGGCAGCCAGTGCCCCCACAGCACCGTCATGGCATCATCACCCGTTACCGCATCACAGTGCGCGAGCACAGCGGCGGCGGGCCTGCCGACACGCTGGTCAATAATGCCTCAGTGACGGCCTTCACGCTAGAGGGCCTGCTGGCCGGGACCATCTACCAGGTGCGCATGGCAGCTGCCACAAACAGCGGATTCGGCGTCAACTCGGACTGGTTGACTGTGCAGACGCGTGTGGAAGGAGACCTGCGTAAGTGCCCAAAATTTGTTGCTTTTCGATGCTGTATAAAGCTATTGTTTTATTTAACTGGGATTAAGTTCTCTAAGTAAAGAACTGTTCCCCCTTTGGGACCCCAGGGGAAGAAGACAATGAAGAAATATACATGTTCAGAGGTGTCCGGGAAAACCCCAGCCAAACACTTTGGGGAAACCTTCTGAATCAGATGGGGACTGAGAACCTAATCCACCTGTGTGGGTTCGGGATTGATGGTAATCCTAAAACCCTGCCTGAAAAACTAGTAGGTGTCTCTTTGAGTCCCTCTTCCCGTCCCACTTTTCCCCTGTACTTTGTGACTCCCCAGGGAATAACAACCTTGCCCCCTCCTAGCCTTTTTCTACAGATCGGCGGATTAACCTAGGTTGGTCCTGTTGACAGCTTGATAATCTTCCATTGACCTGCAGCGATGGGCTGCGATGAAAAAGTCATTAATCTCTCCTCTGTCTCCACTTTGTTCCCTCTTTTTTTTACACTTGTTGGGAGTTCAAGTTGCTACTTTGTTGATCTCGGCCTCCTGTTTGCGTGTGTGCCCCTGCCTCAAGTATTACAAATATTTGCTGCTAGAGAGCTCTTAATTCAAGTTGTTGATATACCTCTGTTGTGGTGTTTGAGGAGATAGTTAAAAAAAAAAATCCCAGCAGAACTGGGCCCTGTTTACACGGCCGGTTTTTAGTGCATGTGTTTTTCTTGTGTCACAGGGAGCTGTATAATATTTCAAGGTTGACTGACAGGTTAAGTTGTGTTAACATTGAACACTGGCCAGATGGTCGCATATTTCCAAGAATTTTTTTTTGTTCGGACACCAAGGAGGGGTAGAAGGGTTCCTCTTGATAGTATGCATATTCATATCTTTCTTAAGGTATCTCTTTGCTCCTTTTTTTTTAATGCCAGTTTCGTAAAACTTTGACAACTTTTGTGTACACATCTACTCCTGTGTCTAAAGAATTGGAAATTTATTCCGAATCCACTTGTGTTTGCTTCTATTTTAAATACTTAACATACGGGTTTGTATTGGATGAGTTGTCAACTTGTTGGCGATGTCCCACAAGGCGAAACCTGAAAGTGCTAGGTCATACAGTAGTTGCATGTGGACATTTTCTGTAGCTTCTGCAAGCTTATTTGGATGGCATACCCCAAGTGGGGATGCCGCGATGGATTTACGTGCCAGCAAAAGTGCCGGTACCTGAAAGTGTTACACCATCATCAGATTGAAGATGTTGCATAAGATTTCATCGGATTGGAATGGCAGGACCCCCTGCTTGTCCTTTCTTTAAGGTTCTATCTTTCAGGTTGCCTTGGCCCTGTCTGTGAACATTGAGAACTCAAGAGCTGACAAATAAATCTTAAGTACATGCGCATAAATGGCGTGTATGTTTTTATTCTGTTTCATATTGCATGGGGACTGAAGTTATCCTGTTATTTTTCTTTTTCATGTGAATTCAACTAATTTGATTATGCCAAACTAATGTACTGTACATTGTGTCACATGGTAGCTGTGTTACGGGGACTGTTCCTCTTGTTTGGGACGGCAGGACTGAGCTGTGGGGGACACCAGTTTGTCCCTGTGGCATTTTGTTCCCCCTAATGTCTATATTTCAGCACATTTGCCATCTCCATAACCCATAACAAGTATGAGTGAACAGCTTCAAATCGTGGACCTTAAAAATAGAGGATAATAGGGTCCACAGTTGTAAGAGTCCTCCATTGGAAAGCATGTAGAAATCCTATGCGAACCCTTCAAAAACGTTTTAAAATCCCAAAAACAGGAGGGCAGTGGAGGTCTATGGTTGATGACATTTACACACCTGTACATGCATGTATGTGTTCTTGTGTACACAGGGCCAAATGCTCCCTACTTTGAGACGGTCACTCTCAACTACTCCTCCATCAGCGTCCTGCCGGACCCGCCCCAGCCCTCGGACCTCAACCTCCTGGGGTTGAAGCTGTTCTATTCCAAGCTTGACTTAGAGGAAGAGGCAGGCGACGACGACCCGATCCTGCTGTCCCTCAACACCACGGAGTACATCATCACTGGATTAGGTGAGCTGGGTTTCAAATTCTTCGCTTCTCCCCATTATCCCCCAGGGGTCCTACTCCAGGTCGTTGTTTTCGCCAAGTGGTGGCTATTTACGAACATTTGCTATAATCCTGATAATTGGCTAGGAAAAGAGTATTGTCAGTGCTGAAGCATTGAAGTGAAAAAAAAAACACTTTTTTAAAACTGGTTCCTGTGTAAAATTTGCCAGCTGTCCCTGCCCTCCCTTAATTCTCCCCTTCTGTTTCCTTTCCATGAAGCTCTTGTGTTGTTCACAAAATGCAAATGATGAAGAGCTACAATTTTACAGTCACCCTTCCAGATTTTCCCAGGGGGCCATTCTGGTGCATGTTCAATTGGTTTTGTAAACATGGGAGTATCAAGGAATGCCAGATGTCTCCCGACGGCAGACTGAGCATGCAAACCGAATGCTGAGTATACTCGTGGTTCTTTTCAGAACCACACATGCTCATAACAGATATATTCCTTCGCATGGTGCTACCGCAAGCCTTTCCACCTATTAAGAAATGCCAGCTAATAAGAAATGCCAGTTTGGCTAAACTGAGACATCTACATATACACTTGTACTTGGTCCACTTGCACTTGACTATACAGTCATTCGTCAGTGTGTGTATGTGGCACTACGGTAGCAGTGAGGCCTGGAGTTTGGTATTCAAACAGCACCCTGGCTTCGCGCTGCTCTCAACACCTGTGCGTAGTGCAGCACTCTGAATCACTTCCTTTTGTTCAGAAGTATAAAGAGTTTAGTTTCAGAGCCTCTCTCGTCTACCCTCCCTGTCCTGTTCATTTTTTTTTTTTTCAATCAACCGGTACTCCGTCGGTACTATGAAGTAATTGTGTTGCAATGACAGCAGCTGGTGGCCAACAGTTAATATTACCGGTATGTCCAGTACCACCTACACCTACATGTACCTCCAGCTGTTCTATTCTCTAAATGCAAGTTAACGGTACTATTTTAGGCAAATGTGTGTATTGAGATGATTTCTAAAAAGAAGAAAAAGTCTGCCGACGGTTTGCATTTTCACAGCAGCTGGTCAGTGGTATTTACTTGTAGTATTTGGTAATTGTGCGTAGGCCCCATCTGGTTTGTGATAAGTGAGGCGTGTACGTGCATTAGTACTACCTTTTAAGTTAAAAAACACCTAAAATTTGTTATAAATTTGTTCTGTTACTAAATTTCCTACCTCTGGGGTTGCCCTGGAAACTTCAAACTGCTTTTGGAGGATAAGCATTTTGGATTAAGCATTTAGAAAATAATGAGAGAAAGAAGCGTTTTGAAAGTCGTGTTAAATGTTGACGCTCCATAGGAAAAGCATGAAGGTTTTCTTACAAGACAACAGAAATGAGACAGGTTTCCCCATGTACGCTGAAACTCACTTTTTAATGTAATCCAAAAATCACTGATGACATACCGGTACCGATCATTGTGGGGAGAAAAACAGAGACTTGTCAGAAGTGCCTTTTTGTTTCTTTTTCCAAACGTTTATGTGAGTGAGGAGAGCAGTGAATGATGTTTGTGGCTCACCCACTGAGCAAAACTTGCGGCAAAATGCCAACAGAACTCATGTTTTGTTGTTGTCAGTGCTCACTTGAAGAGCTTTAACACCCCAGAAACCAACACCTTGCCAGAGCTTGGCCCTTCTAGATGGAAAAGGTAACTTTTCCAAGAATTTTAGTTGGCGTAGGTTTTTTTTTTCATAAGGAGCCCAAGGGGAAGGGGAGGGAAGCTGGAGCAGGTTGACCCAGATTACTCAAGACAGGGAATTCAGGAATGGAGGGCTGGAGATGATGATGGCCTTGGCAAAGTGCCAGAGGAAACAGAGCAGGGGTAACCCTTTCCCAAGTTCCCCACCCCCATGGGCATCTGTGGGGGAGGGAGGAAGGATAAGCCATGACCAGTGACCCTGGCTGAACTTTTCCCTGGCCAATTATTAACCTGTGGGTTTGGTCAGGTGGGTTTTGTGATCATATGACGATAAAAAAAAAAATGAACCAGTTAAGCAAATGAGTAAGGACACTTTGGTTAGTTGATTTCTGTTTTTTTACAAGGATTCTCAAATTCTTTTGAGACTTGTTTCAAGTTAATCCCATTTGTACGTCACTTTCAGGCATATTGAACCATAGCCTCTGCATGTACACGTAATGTGACAACTGCTGCGAAAGAATTTTGTAAGGCTACCTTGGAAAATTGGTTCCCTGTACAGTTTATTTTTAAGACTGTGTAGAACATGGGTAAAGGAAACCCGGACAATCCATTAATGTGAATAGCTATCGTGCCGGATTAAGCATCAGTACTGGATGGAGACCCTAAGTTGACATGTTGCCTGCAGAAACACCCACTTGCCAATTCATTGCGACCAGCACTTGTGACTCTGCTCCTTTTTTTATCTTTTATTATATTTTTTAAAAGTCTATTTATGTCTCATCTAGCCACTGCTTCTGCTCAAACAGGTGTGTGAATTATTAATAATGGCTACAACTGGTGTATGACCAGAGGCCAGAAGGGGGGAGGGGATGGTGGTAATGGACAGTGTTGCCCGTAGGGTAATTGCTTTTAATTATTCATGAAGCGGAGGGGCTGATTGATGACAAGTAAAGCAGGAGAGAATAGTGCCTATTTTGTTTTGTTCTCTTTTCGCCCTCCAATCCATCATTTGTCTTGAAATTGACCGCACATGAAAGTGAAAAACCGAATTGAATGGGAAGGGGGGTTGTTAGCATCCCAGGGGAGATTTGGAATGGGGGAAGGGGGAACTGGACACTTATTAGGGAGAAAAACATCAGGTGAAGAGACCCTCCTGGGTATTTCAGTTCACCTTTGTGGGATGTGCTTATTAAGCCATTGTGCATTAACCCAAACAGTCCCAAATTCTCCAATTTCAATATGATTTTACGTACACCCTAGGGGGTTTGGGTTAAGAAAATTAATCAAATTGGGGATGCACACAGTGGAGCAATAATGGACACTTGTCACACGCTCGGATGGACAAAAAGGGATCAGGCCATAAGTTGCAGAGAGACCATTAAAGTTCAAGCCATAATGCGGTTGGATCTGCATACATGGTGCCCTAGCACCTCGTGCAAGAAGTAATGGAGGGTCGAAATGCAGTTGTGCCGTGTTGCGCAACTGGCAGATAACCTCACACTATCATGACATGCCACTTCCCCCTTGCTCAGTGCTCAGCAGAGATGTCAGCATCGGTCTAATCCCACTCCTCTCCTCCTCCCTCTCACAGGGCTTCACAGGAAACTTGAGCATCTGCTGACTGTCCCCCTTTAATTGTTTGCCTCCAATTACATGCACTCGTACGGGGACATGTACCTGTTGCTCCCTCTAACAGACCCTTAACCACTTGCTGCCGGGTGGTTTGAAAAATGCAGTGCACATAAATCAGGACTTTTTCAAGATTTTCAGTTTTCAAAATTCTTCCAAAATTCATCATTTCAATTAACCCTCCTATGCTGAAGTTCACTCTTTGGGTCATTTGGTAAACACCTCAAAGAAGCACAGCTGTGTTGTGTGGTGCACTGCACCAACAGTCCCTCACAGGAATATCAGATTGCACTTTTGTGCTGCCCAACAAGTGTGCTACACTGTTTCATGTGCATCATTGTGCTGTAAACCAAATGCAGTGAAGAGGACTGCACAAAAGACCCTGGGTCATTTTGTGCTGGCAATCTACTGTGTACACACTGAATCTGTGCATGTTTGAGTTCCATATAGAAAATACATGCTCACCAGTGACTGTGGGCATTTGTGCACATTTGTGCTGTAAAAGCAAAGGAGGGTTAATGGACGTTTACACCCACATGAATTACTGTCTGGTGGCCACGCTAGTCTGACAGACCAAATCTATTGACGCCCGAGTATTTCAGCCAGGCCTGCAGCCTTGTAAACGAAGCCCAGATTGTGCGATGTTATGTAACTGTCTTTTATTCACGAACCTGGCACTGTGCGCTGCTGACCTCTTTTCAATAGGGGACGGATAAGCGTGTAGCGGTGCTGTGTGGCTCATCACTGCGTTGGGGGAGCACTTTTGTCCCCGGTGGTAATCCGCTTGCACTAAATGCCCCAAACCGTGGTATACTGTTTCAAAACAAGGCTGGATTTTCTCCACTATTGAGAGTGAAAAAATGTCGGTAATGCCCAGCAGCCTGGTCTTTTGTTCCGAGAACAGTCCTTTTTGTTACAAGGCCCAGTTCCCTTTGTCTGCGCATATAAACACGCGTATAAACACATGGTGCCCGAAACAGGGCTCCCCGGCAGGAAATGGTTCACTTGCTCTCAAATGTTGGCACGTCTTGTAAAGTGCAAAAGAGCAACGAGTCAAACTAGAACCATACAGCGGGTTCCCACTTGAATTGGGAAAAGGTGGATCTTGATCCAGTATTTTGGTGTGATTGTTATCTTACCGCAACTAAACCGTCGTGTTCCCACTAGCGCTTGATCCACCTTTTCGGACGGAAATGTCAAGCCCGAAAGGTCACTGAGTTCGGTATTGTGCATGTGCTAGCTTGATGAGCGCGTGCTCTGTGGCAGTGTTGCGTGCTGGGGTGGCATGCGTGTGACCCTGCAGTGTTTTGGGTGCAGAGTTCTACTGACGTGAGGACCTTGAATCGGACCGAATGTTCAGCCTAGTACGTTGTCTCTTCAAACTTTGCTTCCGTTTTTGATACTCGGTCACATGCCTCGGGCTTTACGCTAACACAGAATTAGTTTTTGATGGAAAGCAAGTGAAATTACACAAATGAAAAAGGTTAAGAAACGGATGAATGCGCAACGAAAATTGAAAAAGGGCAAGGCACACATCGCGGCATGCATGCATTGTGCATGCGTGGTGACACATTTTGCTAGCCTGTAGTTCAGCAGTTGTTTATTGTGCATGCTGTGCATGTAAAAAATTTCACATGAGCTACATGCCAAAAACATTTCTTTGTTCATCAGACCGCAAAAGTTTGGCGCCACTCATGCACAGACGGATGT